TGACTGACTCTGATTATGAAGCAGAACATTGACTCTGATGAAGAAATTCACTCATCCAGCCGGGAAGATGGACGTTGCTGCAGCATCAGACAGCTGGTGCTGCACGAGAGGTGTGTGGAGTTTACACGCTCCAAACGTTGGGTTTGATGTTGGTTTAACCTTCTCTGGGACGTGATGGATGTAGAAACGATGATAAAAACACCGCTAACGTGACAGACGTAGCGACAATGTAAAAAAAAGCCGTATAAAGAGGCTGATGCGTTAGATATGGAAGTCAAGTGTCACATAATCATAAAAAAGTAAAATATTAAATTTTAAAAGAGATTTATATATAAATTAAAACTTTCCAAATATAATGGAAATTATAAATAAGTTAAAAATACGAAGGAACATCTGTTGGTCAGGCTGAAAAGTTTGGGAACCACTGCTCTAAGTGAATATTGTTTTTAAATATATTTTATGTGCAGTTTTTTTAGGGCTTTTATGTTTTCTGTAAAGATCGGTGTGCTGAAAATCATTTAATGTTTTGCATAAAGCATGAGGTTTTGGTTAGTAATTGATTGGAAAAATAACAAATGACTGAATTAAATAGTGGGGCGCCTCTGTCAGTGCGCCCCAGGGCAGCTTTGGCTACATCGTAGCTCATCACCGTCAGTGTGTGAATGTGTGTGAATGGATGAATGATACACTGTAGTGGAAAGCACTTTGGAGGACAGGACCAACTTTACACAGGGGTGGACATTAACTTCAAAACCAATCGGCCAGCCGGGCCGGTAACTCTGAATATTTACCGGCCCCGCTGGTCAGCTGCCAAAACGAGTCAAAATAACAACTGAACCGTTTTAAATGTAATAAACCTTTATTTTGTACACATTCACAAACATAATAACGTATTCAAGTTTGAATTTGTTTGTTCCCTCAACAAAACTCGATTTTGTCGTCGCATACTTACGGCATACAACGCAGTACATCACCAACTCCGCTTTGCTGTACTTGAGCCATTGGCTGTGTTCGAGATGAGCCAGTTCTGCGCAGATTAGACCAGCAGTGATCGGCGAGCAGTGCATGCCGGTTAGATTTGTGTCCGACTTGACGCCGACTTGCTCTGACGTCATGCATACGTAGGCAACTATAACCTCGTGAGATCAAGGCGGCCGCAGATTTTGGAGCAAGGCGCTGCAGTTGCTCTCCCTCGGCTGCAAAACCTAGAGGATGATGGGAAACGCCTGGCTCTCACCTGATGTAAGATCTGATTGGTTCATATTTTGATCCAAACATCCAGTGGTAGAACATGAAATGTTAGTTGGTCACATGTATTCTGTAAATCATGTTATGTTGATGATGACAACTATATAGGCCATAAGGAGAAATGTGTTTTGTGTTCTTTTGTCACGTTTCCTATGAGAACACTGAAGCTACAGCTGCTAACCTTTACTTATTATTACAGTCATGTTTTCATATACAATATATGATATCCACAAGCACGTGAGGATGTGTTTCAGCTGCTAACAGGCACCAGAATTAAAATTGAAAATTGAACAAGTGTGAATGCTAACGCGATATCTTCAGCCATCGTCACCCCCGAGCTGCACATGCAGGGAAATCCAAGAGATTCAACTGGCAGAAACAACTGGTTCACATCAAAGGTTCTCTCGCTCTCTCTCTCTCTCTCTCTCTCTCTCTCTCTCTCTCTCTCTCTCTCGCTCGCTCTCGCTCTCTCGCTCTCTCTCTCTCTCACACACACACTCACACACTCACACACACACACAGAGAGGAAAAGAGCTGAGGAAATGGAGGGAAAACTATAGCTGAGCCGAGGCGCACCTCGACTGGGGGGCGCGCCTGATCCGAACTGAGCAGCGGCCGAATTTCGTGAGCGATTCGCTTCTCGGCGCTTCCGCGGCCGGTGTGTCCCCGGCGTAAACGCCGGCTTTCAGCCTCTCCCCCTGCTGCTTCCGTCTGCTCTCGTCTGTGTTCCAGGCGAGGCGCTGCTTAACTCAAACACGGCCATTCTTTGTGCCTCCCGTCTTCTTTAAACCGCCAAGAATCATTCCACCTACGCACATGCTTCTCTGCTTCGTGCCGTTTCGAACTGTCTTGCTTCTCCTCACCAGTTTTAAAGCGTTTTGCCGGAGATTTCATCAAGAAATCCCATCCCTGTGGTGGTGCGATCTTCCTGCGCGCTTGTGTGTTTCTAGCGTGGTTCCACTTCGTCTTTAATAGTGAACTTATAGTTCACGTGACAATAACTAGAATTGTGCAGTACGTGCACGAATCGTACAAGTGCAGTACGTGGCTAGAGACGCGCAGGTTCACGCGCACGAAACGAAAACAGCGGCTTCCTACAGGGCGGGGCCATGATGTAGGTGAAAGCCGGTGTGTAAATGACAAATAAGGCTTGAGCGCCACCCGGGCGGTAAGTCGTCAAGTATTTACCGCCCGACGAGAAAATTTAGCGCCATTGGCGCTCGGGCGCTTTAACGGTCCCCCCATGTTACACCCGATCAAATTTGCACACTGTTAGACCTCTGCCTCACCACTACATATTTCAAATAAAACAAAGGTTTCTACAGACAAAAACATGGCTGCGCCATGGGCTCCCCCTTGTCGCCTATTGTAGCCAACCTTTACATGGAGGAAGTGGAAAGAAAGGCTCTTGGCTCTTTTAAAGGGAGAGCACCCAGCCACTGGTACAGATATGTGGATGACACCTGGGTCAAAATCAAAACACAAGAAGTGGAATCCTTCATACGCACATCAACGCGGTGGACAAAAACATCAAGTTCACCAGGGAAAACTTAAAGGACAACTGCTTGCCTTTCCTGGACTGCGCTGTGCACTTTGAAGAAAATGGCAACCTCAACATTGAAGTGTACCGGAAGCCCAAACACACGGATCAGTACCTCCTCTTCGGCTCACATCACCCTCTGGAACACAAACTTGGAGTAATCAAGACCTTACACCACCGGGCAGAACATGTTCCCTCTAAGGCCGGGGACACACCGGCCGCGGAAGCGCCGCGAAAATGGGGTCGCCTTCATTCAGCGCCCTTGTTGAGCTATTCTATAGACCACATGGGCCGCCGAAGTGCCGCGAATCGCCTCGCGCCGGCGCCCCAGCCCGCGCCGTGCAGCGATCATTTCGGCGTCGGCTCTATTTTTTTTCGCGAGCCGCGGGTGAATCGCGTCAATTCTGGCAGGAAGTCAAACGTAGACATAAGAGGCAGGCCGGTAAAGTTAACAAAATAAAGCATTTCAAAATAAAATTCCGCAATAGTCAAATGTGTTCGTAATCAGACACTGCAGAAAAACCACACGAACACACACACACATCGAACTTGTGTGCGTGTGTGACCACGTGAAGGGGTGTGTGGTTTTGGGTGTCTTTTCACCGGAGCAAACAGGACAGAGAGGCAGAAAGTCTGAGGCAAGCAGTTAAGATGGATGACTTTAAATTAATTATGGAAGTTGAGAAACACAAGGAGCTGTACGACCCCCGAAAAACATGATTATTTACGTACCCATTTAGGAAGAAACTGCTAGGATACAGCTGCAGAATTGGAGCGGGTTCCAAGAGATTCAACTGGCAGAAACAACTCATACCATAGGTTCACACACACACACACACACACACACACATGCGTGCACACACACACACACACACACACACACACACACACACACACACACACACACACACACACGCACACACACGTAGAGGAAAACAGCTGAGAAAAGGCAGAGAGGAAATTGAGGACACCAAGTGTTTTAAAAGAAAAACTACAGCTGAGCCGAGGCGCGCCTTGACTGGGGCGCGTCTGATCTGAACTGAGGAGCGGCGAGCAGCAGCCGAATTTCGTGAGCGATTCGCTTCTCGGCGCTTCGCGGCGCTTCCGCGGCCGGTGTGTCCCCGGCGTAAGCCGGAAGGGAAAAAGAAGGAACACACACATAAAGGAATCACTTAAAACATGTGGCTATCCTAATTGGGCGTTTATAAAGTCAACAAATATGCACAGAAAAGAAGACCAGAAACCAGCGGGGGAGGATAAGAAAGACAGACGCGACAACCTTGTCATCCCCTATGTAGCCGGTGTATCAGAGAAACTCAGGAGGGTTTTCTCCAAACACAACATACCAGTGTACTTCAGACCCAGCAACACACTCAGGCAGAAACTGGTTCACCCGAAAGACAAAACTCCTAAACACAAACTGAACAATGTGGTGTATGCGGTACAGTGCAGCGAGGAATGTCCAGACCTCTACATCGGAGAAACCAAACTGCCACTTCACAAGCGCATTGCACAACATAGAAGAGCCACCTCCACGGGACAGGACTCAGCAGTTCATTTGCATCTAAAGGACAAAGGTCACTCTTTCGAGGATGCCAACGTTCACATTTTGGACAGAGATGACAGATGGTTGGAGAGAGGAGTAAAGGAAGCCATTTATGTCCACTGTGAGCAACCATCTTTGAACAGAGGTGGTGGTTTACGGCACCAACTGTCTGCCATCTATAATCCAGTTTTGAGATCCCTTCCCAGATGCCTCAACTCCCACGCATATCCTGGGCCATCTGACCTCAGGAATTCACATGATAGGGTGGGGCCAGGTTTCACAATGAGCTCACCCGAAACTCTGGCTGAATAGGACCCACTCCCACCCTCACACCTTGGCTCATGTGTTTATGTAGAAGATCATCAGGGGGTCTTTTGTTCCCTCTTCGGGGGGGAAACTCCCACTGGGTTTGAATCTGGGACTCTCCACCATTTGACCTTAGAACTGAAGAAGCCTCTCGGATGAGAGGTGAAACGTCTTCAAGCAACTCAAAGAAGTCCAGATGCTTTTCTTTCAAAGCTCCTTAGACTGCCATGTGATTGGTTGATTAGATAATTGCATTAAGAAGTTGAACAAGTGTTCTTTGTAATCCTTTAGGTGAGAGTAAGTGTGAATGTGAAGTTCCATCGATCGGTAATTCATATCATGCTTCTGTGTTTCCTACAGATGTTCAAACTCCTGAGGAACAGAGTGCAGGTGTGGACCAGAAATACCCAGGACACATCCACATGAAGGAGGAACAAGAAGAAAACTGGACCAGTCTGGAGGGAGAGCAACTCCATTTGGAGGAGAAAACAGATGCTGCCAGGTTTCCATTCACATTGGCTTCTATAAAGAGTGAGGATGATGAAGAGAAACCTCTGTTCTCACAGCTTCATCAGCAGCAAGAAGACAAAGAAGTTCCAACCAGCAGCTCAGCTCACCAGATGACAGCAGAAACTGGTGGAAGAGCAGAAACTAGCAGGAACCAAGTTCTGAACCCTCATGAACAGACATCTGATTCTTCAGAAACTGAAATGAGTGGAGATGATGAAGAGGGTGACGATGTGAATCTAGACTCCGAACTGTCAGACTCTGGGTCTGAAACTGGAGAAGAAGACAGTGACTGGAATGAAAGCAGGTCTTCTGATTCACATGTTAGGACTGTCAACAAGTCCTTTAGCTGCCCTGAGTGTGGTAAACAATTTGTCCACAAGAGGTCTCTCCAGAAACATGTGAGAGTGTCAGGTTATTCAGCAATAAGGTCTTCAAGCTGTTTGGTCAAAAAGAAAGGTGTTGGAGTGAAGCAACATGTAGACTCATGCAAGAGAGTCCAGAAAGAACTAAAATCATTTAGTTGTGATGACTGTGGTAAAAGATTTAGTTCAATGTTTCATTTAAACGTTCACATGAGAGTCCACACAGGAGAAAAACCTTTTGTCTGTGAGCTCTGTGAAAAAAGATTTAGCAGTAAGGCACATTTAAACAGTCATATGAGAGTCCACACAGGAGAAAAACCTTTTGCCTGTGAGCTCTGTGGTAAAAGATTTGGTCACCAAAAAAGTTTAAACAGTCACATGAGTGTCCACACAGGAGAAAAACCTTTTGCCTGTGAGCTCTGTGGTAAAAGATTTGGTCAACAAAAAAGTTTAAACAGTCACATGAGTGTCCACACAGGAGAAAAACCTTTTGCCTGTGAGCTCTGTGGTAAAAGTTTTAGCCAAAAGGGATATTTAAACAGTCACATTAGAGTCCACACAGGACAGAAGCCTTTTGCTTGTGAGCTCTGTGGTCAAAGTTTTAGCCAAAAGGGAAATTTAAACAGTCACATGAGAGTCCACACAGGAGATAAACCTTTTGCCTGTGAGCTCTGTGGTAAAAGATTTGGTCACCAACAAACTTTTAACAGTCACCTAAGAGTCCACACAGGAGAAAAACCTTTTGCCTGTGAGCTCTGTGGTAAAAGATGTAACAGTAAGGCACATTTAAACAGTCACATGAGAGTCCACACAGGAGAAAAACCTTTTGTCTGTGAGCTCTGTGGTAAAACGTTTGGTCACCAAAAAAGTTTAAACTATCACATGAGTGGCCACACAGGAGAAAAACCTTTTGCCTGTGGGCTCTGTGGTAAAAGATATGGCTATAAGACAGCTTTAAACTATCACATGAGAGTCCACACAGGAGAAAAACCTTTTGCCTGTGGGCTCTGTGGTAAAAGATTTGGTCACCAAAAAAGTTTAAACTATCACGTGAGAGCCCACACAGGAGTAAAACCTTTTGCCTGTGGGCTCTGTGGTAAAAGATTTAGCAGTAAGACAGCTTTAAACAATCACATGAGAGTCCACACAGGAGAAAAACCTTTTGCCTGTGGGCTCTGTGGTCAGAGATTTAGGGGCAAGACAGAGTTAAACTGTCACATTAAGAGTTCACACACGACATAATGAATTATTTTGAAAGTGTGATTGACGGAAAAAAAATCTGATCTGTGAGAGCAGGGGAGTGGGAGATATATGTATATACACACACATACACACACAGATGTGTGTGTGTGTGTGTGTGTGTAATTGATTGATTAAAATGTTTATTTGAAAATAAGACAAAATATTTTAAAAAAATCAATGAACATAGTAGAAAAGAAAATATATATACCAATAAAAAAGAAGTATTTGTCCAAAGGGAGTAAGAAGAAGTAAGTGCTAATTCTATCCCACCCCCTTGTCTCACATTACTAATTTACTTTACAGTTTACCATCTATACATACATACATACATACATTCATATTAATATATATATGCAGCTACTAATGATGGAATTTTGCATTAACATTTTATGGTACTAGTGATAGTAATGATAATAATGACAATAATAACTTAATAATAATAAAATGGCAATAATAACATAAACAGCAGCAAAATAATAATGACAATATCATAGTTTCCAGAACCTCAGAGAACCTCATTTTCATATCCATTAATTATCATCTTTTTATGCAGTGATTTCAATTTGTTTATATTTGGACACTGTTTGAGTATTTCCTGCAGCCCATTCCACAGCTTCACACCACATACTGATACACAGAAACTCCTTTTAGTGGTTCTTACCCTAGGCATTTAAAAAAAATTTTAATCCTTCCTAAATGATATCCCTCATCACTCTGGTTGAAGAGCTTTTGAATATTAGGTGGTAATAAGTGCTTACTAGCTTTAAACATGATTTGAGCTGTTTGATAATGAACCAGGTCTTGAAGTTAAAAGTATTTTGACTGTAAAAACAAAGAATTTGTATGATCCAGATACCCAACTTTATGAATGACACATATTATCCTCTTTTGCAATACTGATAGTGGGTGTAGTGCATTTTTATAGTTGTTTCCCCAAAGCTCTATACAGTAAGTGAAATATGGCAGAACTAATGAACAATACAGAATATGGAGTGATTTACAGTCCAGCAGTTGCTTCATTTTATTTATAATTGCTATGTTTTTGCTGCTTTGGTTTGCATGTGTCTAATGTGGGGCATCCAACTGAGTTTATCGAGTATCACACCCAAAAATTTGATTTCATTAACATTCTCCATTTTTTTCATCATCAATCTTTCTACATATGTTTTGTTTTTACAATTGCCAAATGCCTTAGTTTTTTCTGTATTCAGTGATAATTTATTATTATTCATCCATTTTTTTTAGTTAACTTAATTCTTTATTAATAATATTAATTATTTCATTGAGATCATTTCCAGCGAGAAATGTATCATCAGCAAATAAGATCATCTTCAGAGTTTTGCAGACTTGAAAAATGTCATTTATATATATATATATATATATATATATATATATATATATATATATATATATATATATATGAAATAGAGCAGGTCCTAATACTGGGGGACACCACAGGCAATCCCCATACTTTCAGAAGTGACAGCATTCATTTTCATAAATTGTTGTCTCAGATAAATAATTGGTGATCCAGTCCAGTGCCATTCCCCTAATGCCGTACTGTTGAAGCTTGTTTATGAGAACTGGGTGATTTATTGTATCGAAAGCTTTCCTAAAATCTATAAATACTCCAATAGCATGTTTACCTTTATCTAATGTATTAATTATTTCATCGGTTGCTTCCATTATTGTAAGAGCTGTTGTCTTCTTTTCTCGGAATCCGTACTGACTATGGTTTAGTATTTCCTGTTTATTTAAAAAGTTTTCTAGTCTGATATTAAATAGTTTTTCCAGGATTGTTGAAAATTGAGGAAGAAGTGATACTGGCCTGTAGTTGTTAAATAGATGTTTATTCTTTGTGCTAAAAATTATGTCTTTTTGTCAATAATTCCATGAAGTTCTAGTTTAGCTTTACGTAATTTGCTCATTGACTCTTCTGTGGATGCCTCTAAAGACTTGATTTCCTCTAACTCCTGAATACGTTTGTTTTCTGATTTTTTTTCCTATGTGATTAGAAAGAGATTATTTTTACCTCTCATCACTGCCTTTCCTGCCTCCCAGAGAATAGATGCTGATGTTCCAGGCAGGTCATTATGTTCTTAATATAAAGCCCACTCCTTTTTAAAAAATTCTATAAAACCTTCGTCTTTAAGCAGTGATGTATTAAACCTCCAGTTTCTGCTTGGTGGGATTGTCTTCTTATTTACCAGAGTTAAAGAAACCGGAGCATGGTGGCTGACAGCTATGGGATGTATCTCAGTGTCTGAAATGTCAGCCAACAATGAGCTGCTGACTAGAAAATAATCCAAACGTGAGTGAGAGTGATGGACGTGTGAGAACAAAGTATACTCTCTACGGTTAGGATGAAGAGATCGCCATGCATCACAAAGCCCATAATCACTCATGTACTGTTTAACTATGTTAGTGGATTGCCAATTGCGCTGAGTCCCAGCTGTACTGAGCCAGTCTGTTAAGGAATTCATCCAAAAATTAAAATCACCTCCAAGTATAAGTGGACAGTCCAAGTGTTCGGAGAGTACAGAGAAAAAATTATGAAAGAATGGAGGGTCATCAATATTTGGACAGTATATGCTGACAATACATAAGCTTTGGTTCTGTACAGATAATTTTAACATTATAAATCTACCCTCTGGATCAAAGACTGTGTCCAGTACTGTGAAATTGATGTTTTTGTGTATTAAAATAGCTACACCTCTTTGCCTAGAGTTATAGCAGGCAGAGAACATGCTGGGAAACTCAGGTGTTTTAAGTTCATCTGCGGATGTGGCAGATCTATGAGTCTCTTGTAATAATATTAGGTCTGCTTGCACTCTCTTTAGCTGATCAAAAATATTTAATCTTTTCTCTATGGAGCCAGCTCCATGTACGTTCCATGAGACAAATCTTAGTGCACCCATAGATGTGTGTGTGAGTAGCTAAAATATGACGCCTTCATGTGAATAAGATGGAATAAGTATCTAAATGAATAAAATAGTATGTTAATAAATAACAGAAAAGTAAATAATAATAATTATAATAATAAAGATCCAACAGTGTTTGTGGTTGTATTATTTGATGCATAAATTATATTTATTGTGCTGTGAATTTAATATATCTGTGTGTGCGTGCGTACGCGTGTGTGTGTGTGTGTGTGTGTCGGGTCTGACGCAGTGTTGGAAAGTTGTGTGGTTGTGCCGTACAGGTGTAAAGGTGCAGAAGCAGGTAAAAAGGAAGGGAAAGTACAGATACAGGTTAAAAAAGAAGAAAGAACTAAAAAGAAAAGGTGATAGGGGTGTGAAGTGGTGAAGGACAGGTGATCTTATCATCAACAATACGGATTTAGCAGCTGTTTAATCCTGACGTGATCAAACCCAGTGAATCCTGATAAGAATAATAATTGTCTGACCTGATGTTGGGCTAATACAGCCAGTCAGTCACTCCTCGCTCCTTGTAAAGCTTATTGTCCACATACAGCTTATCCACCGAGATGACAGCTCTCTTCCCATCCTGGATAAACTTTTTTCGCAGCGGAAAGAGGACTCTGTGCCGATCCAGAATTTCCTTCGGGAACTGATCATTGACGCTGAAATCTTTCCCTTTGAGCTCTCTTCCGTGACTTTTAACAAGATCCTTCTGCTTAAAATGTTCAAATTTAGCCACGATGGGACGAGGTCTTCTGCTGTCCCCTCTTTTAGCTCCAAGGCGATGTACCCGGTGAAAGGTGATGTTTTTTACCTTTTCTTCAGGTATCTTCATTTGGGTCTGGAGAAAGTTCTTTATTGTTTGCTCGTAGTTCTCCGCCCCTCTCGCCTGCTCCGGCAGGCCTGCGAACACCAGATTATCCCTCATGCTGCGGGCCTGAAGGTCCAAAACCGTCTCCTTCAGAATCTTTTTGTTCTGGGCGATCCGCGTCATTCCCTCTTCCAGGGAAGAAACGGACTCCCGCAGAGACGCGTTCTCAGCAGCGAGCCGCTCAACCTGTTCCTGGCTGAACTCCAGAGATGTTCGGAGGTTCTGAAACTCCTGGTGAAGAACCTCGAGCAGATGAAGTCGCCCCTCAAATCCCAGAAGCCGTTTATCAATAGAATCTAATAATTCTAATATGTCCTTCCGGGGAGATGAGGCCTCAGGCGAGTCCTGAGGACGGCTCCTCTTGGTCCCAGCAGGTGTTTCAGCCTCAGCTGCTGATTTCTTCGGACCCATGACGAATAACTCAAAAACTTTGTCAATATAATTTAACAAACTTTCTAAATTTCCTTCACTTACCTCCAGATTGAGTGAGTTATACTTACCAGATGATATTTTCGTTGTCAGTAGTTATATTAGGCAAAAATGCATCTAAATTGTTTGTGGATGTTTGCTAACGAGCTGCCATCAGCTTCAAACGCATGCGCAACTCCCCTCAGCGCATCCGCAATTTTTAGCACAAAGAATACGAATAGAAAACTTCGAACATAGTAATAAATCAGGTAAATTTTTGGCTAGCCAATTAAAAATAAATAAAGAGAAAACTACCATATCTGCTGTTAAAGACTCAACCGGGAATATAGTTAATGACCCTGAAAGAATAAATAACACCTTCAGAGACTTTTACCAAACTTACTCACCACAGATAAACCCATCAGCTAATGAGATCAATGAGTTCCTTGACAGGATAACACTTCCTAAATTATCAGACAGCCAAGTTACAGTCCTGGACTCGCCACTAACATCAGCGGAGCTCCAGGAAGCCCTTAAATCCATGAGTAATAGGAAAGCTCCAGGTCCAGACGGGTTCCCAGTAGAATTCTACAAAGAATTCTGGATCATTCTGGCTCCAACATTTTTCAGAATGGTGAGGGAAATCGAAGAGAGCGGCAGATTACAGCCAAACATGAATTCAGCCAATATTAGTCTCTTGTTCAAACCAGGCAAAGACCCAGCATTTCCTACCAGCTATCGCCCAATTTCCCTTATTAATGTTGATCTCAAAATAATCTGTAAAGCCCTGGCCAAAAGATTAGAGAAGGTAACCCCCTTCATAATACACCCTGACCAAACTGGTTTCATTAAGGGTAGACAGTTCAGTTCAATTCAATTCAAGTTTATTTATATAGCGCCAAATCACGACAAGAGTCGTCTCAAGGCACTTCACATAATAAACATTCCAATTCACACAAACTCACGTAGATTACTTAATTTGATAGATTTCTCTTACAGTAGAAACATAGAAACTCGTATATTATCTCTAGGTGCAGAAAAGGCTTTTGATAGAGTTAACTGGAAGTTCTTATTTGCAACTTTACATAAGTTTGGCTTTGGGAACTTCTTCATAAATTGGCTACAAACATTATACAGTTCACCAACAGCACGTGTCAGGACGAATGACCAAATATCAGCTAGCTTCTGTCTTCAGAGGGGGACCAGGCAGGGATGCCCACTCTCCCCCTCACTATTTTCTATCTTTATCGAACCACTAGCAGCAGCAATTAGGCAAACAACAGATATTAAAGGGATAAAGTGTGAGAAAATAGAACATAAGATCAGTCTTTATGCAGATGATGTTTTACTCTTTCTCCAGAATTCTCAATCCTCTCTCTTGCAAGCAATAGAACTGATAAACTCTTTTTCCAGAGTTTCAGATTACTCTATAAACTGGTTAAAATCCACAGTTCTACCAATTAATTTCTCATTTGTCAATTTGCTTAATACACAATTGGAGTCAGGGAATATCACATACCTGGGAATTAATATCTCTCCCAAGTTAGCAGATCTAACCAAACTAAACTACATCCCACTTTTAAGGAAAGTGGAAGATGATCTTGCAAGATGGAAATCCTTACCAATATCACTCATGGGGAGAGTGGCTACAATTAAAATGATGGTCTTACCCAGAATAAATTACTTATTCTCGATGATCCCAAACAAACCACCAGCTGACTGGTTTAAATCTCTGGACTCCTCAATTACTAAATTCCTTTGGCAGGATAAACCTCCACGAATTAGCTTAAAAACGCTTCAGA